TGAAATAAGGCCAAAAAAACTGTACAGGGAATTTTGAACCCAATTTTAGATTAACTTCAATAATTCATAAAAAAAGTTTTTTAGGAATCAGCTCAAACTTTTTATGAAATAATAAATACAAATGTATTAGTTAAATTATAAAAATGGAGAATTTGCTCCTTTTTATTTTTGAAAAAATTTTGCCAGAGATACTGTACATAGTACAAGGAATTGGGCCTAATTTTAGAGCCAATTAAATAATATAAAAAATTTTTTTGGAATCGGTTCAAACTTTGTATGTAATAAAAAAACATATCTTTTAGCTAAATTATAAAAATGGACAATTCCCTCCTTATTATATTTGACAAAATTTGGCCAGAGACATTGCACTATAATAATACATGGACTTTGGTGCAATTTTAGAGTAACTTCAAAAATTCATAAAAAATTCACGTTTTTATCGCAATCAGCTCAAACTTTCTACGCAATAAGTAAAACATAATGTATTATTTAAATTATAAAAATGGAGAATTTGCTCCTTTCCTTTTTTGAAAAAATTTGGCCAGACACACTGTACTATAGTGCAGGGAATTACGCCAAATTTTAGAGCAAATTAAAATATTTAAAAAACAAATTTTTATCACAATCAGTACAAACTTTGTATGCAATATGAAAACATGTAAATGCATCAGATAAAATTTTAATACCGAATTTTCTCCTTTTCAGTTTCGACGAAATAAGGCAAAAGAAATTGTAGATGGAATGGAACCCAATTTTAGAACTTAAAAAATTTATAAAAAACAAAAGTTTTATCGGAATCAGCTCCAACTTTCTATGCAATAAAAAATACACATGTATTTAAAAATGGAGAAATTGCTGCTTTATATTTTTGACAAAATTTGGCCAGAGACACTGTACTATTATAGTACTTGGAATTGGGCCCAATTTTAAAGCAAATTTAAAAATTCAAAAAAAAATTTTATTGGAATCAGTTAAAACTTTCTATGCAATAAACAAACATACTGTAGAATTCCCTCCTTATTATATTTGACGAAATTTGGCCTGAGTCACTGCACCAGAATAGTACAGGGACTTTGGCCTAATTTTAGAGCAACTTAAAAAATTCATACAAATCACAATTTATCGGAATCAGTTCAAATTTCCATGTAATAAAAAATACATAATGTATTAGTTAAATTATAAGAAAGGAGAATTCTCTCCTTTTTATTTTTGACAAAATTTGGCTGGAGACATTGCACAATAATAGTACAGGGACTTTGGCCCGATTTTAAAGCAACTTTTAAAATTTATTAAAAAAACAAATTTTGATCGGAATCGGTTCAAACTTTCCATGCAATATGCTGGCTGGGTGCTATGGTAGTTACCTACCTTGTACATCATCAAAAAGTCATCGGAACAGCTACAGAATAAGAGAACTTGTATTATGTACAAAATGTAAATGTGCAATATGTACATGTACATTGTACATATATATATATATATACATGTGAACTTTTCATAATGGATACAATTAATTTATTATGAATGATAATGTTCATCTTAACTACGTTTTGTTTTGAAGGGAAGATTGAGTGGAATGAAGTGCTCGTGTTCAGAGATGTAAGACAAGAAGTGTAACCTCAACTTTGAAACAAACTACGTGTAGCAGACAGACATAGCACATCTACTCAAATTCTATCTACTCTGTAACTACTTGTAATTTAATATTTTAACCGATATTTACTTGTATTTACTTTGTAAGTAGATGTGTATTTTCGCCTACTAAAATATGTCACTTATTGCAAAAAGCATTACTTGACATCTTCCATTGCAGTTATTTACTCATGATAAAGGCCATGTGGGCACTGAAATTTCATAGGAAGGAATGTGTTCTGTTGAAAAGAAAAAAATGCACTATAGCAATAAACATTAGGAAACAGTCTTTTAAGCTTTTCAAATGATTATTTTAGTATGGATATAGATACATGAAAATATTTGAAAATAAAGGTGAATATTTTAGGCTGTTCTCCTCTATCTACCACTGTCTACTTGAGCCAGAAATTTCATGTAGATACTCGTGTATCGTGTATACACGTGCTATGTCTGGTAGCAGGAAATACGTGTAGAAAGAGAGAGAGAAAATAGCAATACATGTACATGTACAATTTAAAGACAACAATGTTTCAATATTCTCTGTGAATTTACTTGATATCAGTTCACTGTGATCCTAAAACACATATCAGTACATTAATGTACATGTACATACAGACAATAACTATTATACAATGTACTCATGTATATGTACAAAATAATCAAAAAGTATAACTGCAGCCTGATGGCAACACACAAACGTACATGTATTACATGTAGGATGCTTGTACATGTACATGTCATAAACTTCAAATACATATACATTGTAAGTACCTGTTACAATCTCTTCAATGGCAAGAGAAGATGCAAAAATGTATATACGCATACATTAAATACAGCCATACATTATTACTTTAGCAATATTGTTCCCCATAAGGAATTTCTTCAGTCTGCTCAATGTCTCTTAATGGAATCAGCTCAAACTTTCTACACAATAAAGAAACATGCCAATGCATCAGATAAAATTATGAAAATACAGAATAATCTCTTTTTTAATTTTGACAAAATAGAACATAAAAAGGAATGTAAGTGTGGACATACAATTACTATACATCACGGGGGCTAAATACAATCTTTCGAATGACCTTGGGGCTTTGCCCCAAGGTCGTTCAAGATTGTTATGATATGAAATGTTATGCTATGTTATTAATGTTATTAATGTTATGTTATGTTATGCTATAAATGTTATGTTATGTTATGTTATGTTATAAATGTTATGTTATGTTATGTTATATGTAATATGAAATGTTATGTTATGTTATTAATGTTATCTATGTTATGTTATGTTATAAATGTTATGTTATTGTTATGTTATGAAGGATTGTTATGGCGCCCTACATACTGTAGGGCGCCATAACATTATTAAAGAGATAGCATGACCGTACCTCAGTCATGACAAAGGCTTGATTTTTGATACACTCAAAATTACGTTACAAGTAAGCCTAAGGAGATAAGAAGACGCGAGTTCTCAAACAAACTCCCTTGTTTACTGCTCACTTTACAGTACCTTTATGTTAAATAGTGCAGTTTGGACTTCTGAAAAACATCAGGATAACACCCAATCAACCCCATCCATTAGCCAAGTAAGTGGGTGGGTCAAATTATAAAATGTGGCAGAGCTGAGATTAAAAGAAGGTAGAAGCCGAGAGCGACTCTCTAAAGTCGCCATTGTGATACACGTGAGGGAACCGTACTGGCACGTATATTTCCGTTTACGTCATGCCACACCCAACATTGATCCAAGTCAGTGAAGTGACAAAATGGCGCTGATACTCAAACCCACATCTGGGATCAGTGATGTTCTGAGCCCTTTGCCTGAATGTAACACAAAAAGTCTCATTGAAGTAAGAGAGAGTGATACATGTACATGTATAGACCACCCAGAGTAGAGGTTTGCGATGCCATACCAAAGTACTCATTTATCTAGCCTGTACAAGGCCTCTGATACCACTGTACTAGATGCCAATTCCTGGTATTGAGTAGTGAGCATAGATATTAGAGTAAATGAAAGGGATAGGAAACTAGAAATGGTGGGATAATAATTGCATTTCTTTGTATTGTGCCATAGTAACGGATGCTACATTCCCTTCAGTGTTGTATCAGTTAACTATAACTATAACTAAATCTATTTTAGTACAACAAAATTGTAAGTTAGTTAACTAAACTGTAATTCTTCAATTTCATATCAAACTAACTAAAATCATAACTAAAATCACTTGTCAAAACAATAACTATAACAAGTAAATAAAAAAATTTCTATTAAGTAAGAAAAAGTAGGGTTGTCAAAAAATAAAAGAAACAAGGGGGTTGAGTTTAACCATAATAATAATTAATAGTTCAATTAATGATAATAAACGTTAATTAATAAAAAATAATTTATTCATAAAAATAATACAAAAATTTCAAACCCTACTTTGCAGAGTTTTATGAAGTGTCCTTTAAAATGACAAATTTTAATGAAAGAATGAAAAAAATGCTTAGTTCCAGCCTACACATGTGTGGCAAGTCGAATTAAAATTCCTAATAAGAATATCCATAAATATTTTAATGAATCACAAAAATTAAAAGATTTTAATAGCCAAATAATTATCAATAATTTATATTTTTTAAATGTGATGACAGTAATTTTTTCAATCAATACTAGCTGAAGTTATGTTTATATTTATCACGATATTAAATTTACATGTAGTAGAGCGATCAATAGGTACAAAAATATAATTATCTATTTATAATGTAGTCTGCCCATTAATGATCATTTTCTGCAAAGTAGGGTTTGAAATTTTTGTATTATTATTATGAATAAATTATTTTTTATTAATTAATGTTTGTTATTATTAATTGAACTATTAATTATTATTATGGTTGAACTCAACCCCCTTGTTTCTTTTATTTTTGGACAACCCTACTTTTTCTTATTTAATAGAAATTTTTTTTATTCACTTGTTTCCATACTTTTTATAAAATTATTTTTATTAATTATTAATAATTCTTTTTATTGATGAAAATAAATTTGACATTCATTTATAGGTTTTAAAGTTCATCAGTTCATTATTGGAAGAAAAGAATTTTTGAAATAAAAGCCATTACAGCCATAAAAACAATTTTATAATTTCTATTATACAAATTTGAATCATTAATTATTATTTATAACTAGGCTTATTATTATTCATTACTGAGACTTCAAAACCTATTTAAGTTTTTTAATTTTTTTCTCATTACAAATTTAAATCCGCTCTCAGAAATATCTAACCTCTCTCGCTCTCTCAGCCTCTCACTCTCTCATTCTCTCTCTCTCACTTGCAGGAAAGTTTATTTTTGCATAAAGTTAGTTTGCAAACTTGTAGCTATTACTACCTCATTTCTTTTTGTAGGAATATGGATGTTCTTGCACCAGAAAATGATGGTCATGGAAGTCCTTTTCTACCACTACCACCTGTTGCAGCCGGTGGAGGTCATGGAGGTCCTCCACCACCACCACCAGGACATGTTGCTGGTGGTCATGGTCCTCCTCCACCACCACCACCACCAGTCGCACCGGTTGTAGCCGGCGGCCATGGAGGTCCTCCACCACCACCACCAGTTCCGGCACCTGCAGGCCATTAAGGTCCTCCACCACCACCGCCAGTTGCTGGTGGTCTTGGAGGTGCTCTTTGACCACCACCAGTTGCTGGTGATCTTGAAGGTCCTACACCACCACCACCAGTTGCTGGTGGTCTTGGGGGTCCTCCACCACCACCAGTTGCTGGTGGTCTTGGAGGTCCTCACCACCACCAGTTGCTGGTGGTCTTGGAGGTCCTCCACCACCACCAGTTGCTTGTGGTCTTGGAGGTCCTCCACTACCACCTGTTACTGGTGGTGAAGTAGGTCTACCACCACCACCATTGGCTGGTGGTTTTGGAGGTGCTCCACCAGCTCATGCACCTGTAGCCATAGGTGCTCTGCAGCAGCAGAGGCTGCTCGTCCTGAGGCAATTGAGGAGCCTCAATAAGCAAATCGTAAGGTTTTAAAATACTTTATTATATATATATATAACCTCTTTCCATTTTAGTACATGAACTTACCCAGAGGACCAAGAGGCCGTGGTGCTGGGAGGGGCAGAAGGGGTGGAGGAACATTACAACAAAATATAGCTTTTATTAACTTAAACTTTTTAATTATAAATAGTATTTTAAAAACAAAGAAGTCAATTATTTTACAGCGCAGAAAGCAAAATCTAAAATACAATAGTATAATGTTCAAAATGATGAATTGCTCAGCAAGGCAAAATGCTTTAATACTTTAGATTCCATCTTCCTACAATAATAAATACATACATGTTAATAATACATCATTTATATACACTACTTACTGTGCATGTGGCCATAGTTAATGACATAACCATTAAAGGAATATAGATGTAACCTTGAACCAATACCTATTACAAAATACGTAAGACACTTTGAAATCACACAATATACAATCTTGCTACATAATCCATTGCTAAGACTACAATAATGTGAAACCAATAAGGCTAAAAACTGTTGCCTCCTGCAGTGTGATAAACTAATGATCAATCAGCAAGGACCTACAACAAAAATTTAGTTACATGTAATAAAGAAATTAATTTAGTTACAAGAATCTAAAACCAGAATAGCCTTTAATTATATTGCAGTAATTGCACATTCCAATATCAAGTAAAAGTATTGCTGAATCATGAAATCCTTTCCAGCTGTCAATACCTGTAAAGCATAGTAACAGAAACATATAAAAGGCAAGCAATGTAAACACACTGGCTAATAATGACAATAGTACAAACAGTAATGGTGAACAAACTTTATTACCAATCACATGGAACTTTTGTATTCCTTGTAACTCCATTATACAACAAACTATAAAAGGATGAAATTCATGCATGATAATCATCAAACACTACAAGCACAATAAATGCATCAATAATCCAATACATGTACCCTATTCTAAACATATACATGTATGTATGCATGATATACCTTATGTTTGTCACAAACATACATTACAAACCACCAACAAGATACAGGTGCTCACATATAGGAACATCCCCTTCACCTTTGAGTCACACTCTAAGTCTGGCCTCACTCTTTAGCACCACATTGTAGTCCTTGTGCCAACTAAGTACATGTATCTGTATAAATTATAAATGTGACATACATGTACTAACTAATAATGATAATGGTAGCATCTACAATGTTTCTGATTGGATGATACATATATGTGCATGCATGTATTTTAGACATTCATGTAATATTGCTTACTAATGCTATCCTCAGTTAAGATACTTTCATGACCTGCTTAATAAATAATAACATTGTGTACATGAAGAATTTCCAATGTGCAAACAATCCTTTTTTATTAATGAGAACATGCACATGTTACAACAATTATCAATAAAAGATGCGCAACATCAGCCGGCAAGCATTAACTTAATAATGCGCACAGCATTGATGGCAGCATTATGCGCAACATCAGCTGGCAAGCATTGACATATGTAATGTGCAAAGCATTGATGGCAGCATTAACAAGCATGATGATCATTATTTATTATATGTACAGAATCATTGCTTGAGTAATACTACATGTATAATAACAATTTTTAATGTTACTCAAAAATTTTTCTTGTCAGGACTTCAAAATTTTTCAGCAGAGCCCCGATCCATAAGTACCTGTTATTTGTATTAAACATGTAGTACAAGCCACAAACAAGATCCAGACTAGATAATGACAGCTTCCTCCCTTCCTAACCCTCTGTCCTACATAAGTGATAGTCACACAAATTTGAATCAATTCTTAAAACTAATGAACTGTAAACCTCTTTCACACCCTCTCCCTTTCCATTATAGTAACAAGTAATCAATATACACTGTCATTTGTTATACCTTCATTAATCTCACTTCCTAAATGCAGTTAGATCTCTTCATACTGAGCAATACTGGGTGGATATGCACCAATGGTTTTTAGACACACTCACACATCACTCACATTGCACAAGCAGTGAAATATATGTCACATTAAACAACCAATGTTTTTATGATGGACCTCCCATACACCATACCCACTTCCATCAACAATCAATGCTTAAGAAATATTAATAGATTTAACTGCTTGGAAATGATTAGTACCAACATGCTTCAAATACAAAGCAGGTGCATTAGTATCACAAGGAATGCCATATAATTCCTGGGTACCATATCTGCCCAGCCAACAAAAGTAGGAGTAAGTGAAAATGAATATATGGTTGTACCTGATATTGCAGATAATGTAATAATCTCTGTCTCAGTAGCCCACACATAATTTCGATACATTTTCGACTTATTTATGTAATCATATATGCTTGAATATCTGGTTGCACTTAACGTACTATTAAACAATTCTTCTTCAAAGTTTCGCATATTACTAACAATTGCTTTACGTAATTCATATTGCTGAGAAATTGACCCAGTAATGAGATATGAAAGGGCATAAAATAAACAGTTCCCATCACCAGGGACATCAAGAGTACTATTAGGGACTCTTTCATCCGACAATGGTGTTGTTGGACTGCCAGGTAAGATTTCAGCAGCTGTTACAAACTTAAGGTTCAATATCTTACACAACCTTCTTTGAACTTCTTCATTAGCAGGGTAATAAACATAATCCCTTTGTCTCCTTCCCACAATATCTAGGTTGGGAGGCTCTTCATAAGTAAAGATGACATCATCATCTATTTTTGGATTACTTTTCTTTAATTTAATGCTTGAGAGTTTTATAGATACAATCAGACCACTACTACAATGGTCATTTTTACAACACACTTAGTTTTATCATCTGTTGGTTTACATTTAATCTTTGAGAGTTTTATTGATACAATCAGACTACTACAACTATCGTCATCTTTGACATTAAATTTGGTTTTTAGGTCTTTCAAATTAATTAAAACAATTAATTTATCATCTTTTTTTGAGCGAGGCAATGCCAAAGCACTATTGTCAGCACTACTGTCTACATCAACTTTTCTTTATTGGGGGCAAGGCTTATTTAAAGCATTATCGTCATATATTTTACTCTTTTTGGGGCGATTAGACTTTTTAAAATCATTACTCTTACGTTAATTGCTACTAACGGTACTGTTACTAGTACTTTGTACATGACTTACAGACACCTTGGCATTCTTACTACAAGGTTCACGATCATCAATTATACCAGTCACTTGAATCTTTCTCTTCTTTCCTTTACTTTTCTTGATTTGAGGTAAGTCTTTTCGAAATTTACTTCTCAGCCTGTTAATTTCACTAATGCACAGATTACTAACTTTAAGAGAGAGGATCAAATGATAATAAATGTAAGCCATTTAATGTGCGTACACAAGACAATGCAACATATGCCATACCATCCCCAAAAACATCAGTAGATAAATCAATAATGGCTGTATCTAGTGAGAGGCCCTGACATTTATGTATAGTAATAGCATAAGAAAGTATAAGGGGAAACTGTTTCCTATGCATATACAAATTCTTAGATAGCATAAATCTAGATGTAACCCTTTCTATGTCACAAGGTACATCAATATGATCAAATTTGATTGATATACGTGTAGCATAAATACCCATTACTGTACCAATGGCACCATTAACTAATCCTACAGTCACATCAATATTACGTCTTAGCATTACTCTACAGCCCACTGCTAAAGACAATACAGTTTCTAAACCAGCGGTTTTGCTTGGTTGATCTTTTAGTTTCAACTTTCATCAACAACATCAACACATGCTAATTCTATTTTCTCAGTTTCTAGACTTTCTAACATTAATTTATTGATTTTTTGGCAGGCATCTACCTTAGAAAATAGGCAAATTGCAGGATTTGTTCCTTCACTTTCCAATTCCTTCAATTTTTTTGTATTGAAACCTTAAATACAAGACTCTTAAGCGTATCAATAGTTTCATCAGTCAGACAGCCATGCCTAACAGAAACAAGCCTTTCCATATCTTGACTGCATTTGCTACTCCAAATCTAGTTTTTACTAGTTTGTTGCTAATTTTTTAAAATACTGGCCTACCATTAACTGGTGGCAATTGAAAAAGGTCACTTACAAATAAAATATTTTTGGATCCAAACCATTCATCAGTTCCAAATATATCTTCTAAGCGCATGTGTAAGTATGCCAGATTTAGATTGAATACCATAGATACCTCGTCTACTATTATAATTTTTAAATTTTTAAGTGTCATTTTTATCCTTTTCTGAGCTTCTTTATTCAAAGCCCTATATCCAGCTGTCTTTCCCTCATGCTTTATTGGTAGCTGAAATAATCTATGTATTGTTAGTCCGCCTACATTAAATGCGGCTATACCTACTATAGCACACATAATTTCACCACTTTTTGGATCCCATACGTCATCCACTAGGCATTTCATTGCCTCTATTAAAAATGATTTACCAGTTCCACCTACACCACTAATAAACATTCTTAGCGGTTTGATATTTTCTAATCTAAGTAGTCTTAAACACTCATTCTCTAATAAGTCTTCACATTCTTTTTGACTTATAAAATGACTTAATTTTATCAAAATTTCTTTTTTGATTTATATTAAGCATTGCCTCTCTTTGCT